CTTAGATCGAGCAGTGAGCCATTGCATACGGAAATTTAAAAAAAAACTAGAAAAAACATATTTAATAACTGGAAAGATAGGTTATTTCAAATGACAAAACAGAACAGATTACGTGAATCATCATTGATGCTAAGTCGCTAAGTGCTAGTTAACGTGATCTAAATCAATAATAAATGGTATAATGCATCTGCAAGGCTTACTTTCTTGTTTATATTGAATCTAACTCACTGAAGTAGTAAAGCAATATCCCACATATTGAAAATGTCAAATACACAAAAAAGTGTTTCAAATAAATTCTAAACATCTAGGCTGAAGAGTTCAAAAGCAATCTACTGAGAAGCACGAGCAAGTTGAAGGGATTGTAATAAGATTTCCGCAACGACATGTACAAAACCATAAAAATCATAAGAAAACAATGAAATTAAAGGAAAGACTACCTCACGCTCCGTTTGCCGATCATCGCCCTCCGGCAGATCGAATTCATCACCGTCTTCATTTGACAATGCTATACGTTTATTGGTTCCAGAACCTGAAGCAATGTCGTCGGCGAAAGAGACCACCGAACGTTTTGGCATTGCCTGAATGTGACGTAGTTCTAATCAATCTTATATCAACTATCGGACCGGTTTGAGACGACAGCAATCAAGCTTATTATGAAAAACGTAAGCAAGTTAGTAGAAGAAAACAAACTTATGAATAATCTCCGAAAGCGGGAAGAGAAGCATCAATGAGGAGTAGAACATGTCGAAATCGGAGAAGGATTTTGGTGCGTTAGTCATTCCAAGTGAGATGACGCTTGGACTACGATTCACAACGTCAGAATTGATAAAAAGGACAGATAGTACAAATGATAAGTGAACTAGATAACAAACAAGGACAAGGTTCCGAAAGGTGAAAGAACTCAATTATTTATAAAAAAAATTTCAAAAGTATACGAAAGCCAAGAAGACTGGGAATCCAAGTGCACTGATGACGCTCTCGCGGGAAAAACAATGATAAGCAGCACAACATATGTATGGTTTGCTCCTTTTTCAAAAAGTTGCAGATGAACACAAAGGGAATGTCGGATAAGGCAGGCTTAACGTTAAACGAATTCTGATAAATTTTGAAATTTGTGAAGGAACCTTGAAAGCGTAATTTATGAATTTTCAAAAAAAAATCTAGTAAAAAGGATACTCTCAATAGATCGATATTGCATAAAACTCTAACTCTGAAAAATTATAATCACAGCTTATGCAACTCGACAACGTCATAAACCGGAAATTGTTCTCTCATCAACGTCAGCGAGAAAAAAGAACAGACAACACTCCAATGTACGTGCTTTATCAGAGCGCGAAATTCAAATTTGAACGATTCCTCCTGTAACCCTTGTCCTTTCTTTTGGAAATTGTTCTCAATTTACTAACTCACTTGAATTTTTCCTTAAAAATTTTACGTTAAGGAAAAAGTCTCATTGAGCAGTACAATACATCATGGGTCAGTGGATTTCTTCAAAGTTAGACTACTCATTTACATCTGAAGGAGATTCCACCGTAGGTTACTCCCTGAGTTAAGAGCTGCTGGCGTAAGCATAGTAGGTCGCTTAACTAATAATTCAGGATCCCTTGGCCGGTACACCGTCTGGAGAGAAACGTATCCTCCCCATCGATCCTCGATCTCCAACTGCTGATATCAGCAGAACTCCCATTGAAGTTACCAGGTGGGCTCTTCATTAATTTCTAATATCCTATGGTACATTCTAGAACGTTTCCAGTCTCTCCCGCGAGCAGTTTGTAAACGATGGAACAATGGCTATTGTGCTAGTGGCGATGACCAGTTAAAATCATGCTCAATTGTTAACAAACCGCTCGCCTAAGGGTACTGCCCGGAAACATTCTTATTAAGAACAGATCTTTGCAAATATTTGAAGATCAACTCCCATGTTTTAATATCTTTAAAATGGTCCTCACCGATTTCTGATTTTAAGTGAAACACAGTTCAAATTTTTTTAGAAAACTTTGGGACCCTTGAGAGTGAATATACGCAAAATCTCCAATCATATTGGTCAAGCCTGGCTAAATTAATCATATTGGCGTTTTGACTGATCTAATTATAGTTAATTTTGCAACTGCACACCGCACTTCAAGTCCAGTCAACACAAAATTTGATTAGCGATACGGCGTGGAATGAACATATGGCATTTTTTAAACATTTTAAAAATAAAGCACGCGTTTCATAGCTTTGGTTTGTTGCAATAGTGTCCAAAGTAGTCTATTAGTTCACACAAAATACAACGTGAAACGCTGTCCGGTTTGGCTTCATAGTTATTAACATGCGTATTGAACCACGCTAAAGGAAGCAGTTACATGCGTAGCGTGTCTCGCTACGGACTGTACGCCTCGTGCTAGTCAAAATACGAGGATCAGACTACCTGAGTCCTTTTTTTTAACCCATGAGACATTCGAAATTGTGAATAAGGAAAATTGTTTTTAATACTTTTATTTCCTTTTAATCAAACACATGCCCAACGAAAAAATTGTATCTCACTGGGAAATAAGGAGTAATATAGGAAATAAATTAGAGATAGCTAATCCAGTATTCTTGAAGCACTCCGAAGGGCAATGGAGGTGCCGGTGAGGTGGACAATAGCAGTCCCCTAACGAGCCTGCCATCGAACCGTCCACGATCCCTTCATCAGAGAATTATGGACAAAAGGAGGAAGGAGGTTGATGCCTAAAGGTTCGTCGAAAGGTAACCATTTCTTCCAAGTCGCTTTTAGCCACAGCTTCGGCCATTGAAATTCTCCATCCATCAAATTCTGATCCCCGCATTATTTTCAGCGTTGCTTTAAGTGAACTTTGCCTGCTTCGTTCTATGGGAAATAGTTTCGCGTTCCACAGGGAGACGTCTACTTCAGGTGTCTCTCGTCCCATCCAGCAGAGCTTTTCCATCTTCGACTTTATATCATCATCCGTATGAAGTAGTATAGTTGTATAAAATCTTTCTTCGTTTTCCTTAATGCAGAGAGTGAACAACATGCTCCTATCATCGATTTGTAACCGATCTGTATATTCGCATCCATTGATTAAGCATCCTTCTCCAATGCTTGCATTTTTGAATTTACAATACTCCAACAGCGAACCACTGCCAATCTGTAAATATCGACTATTTATCTATGAACAACATTCCAGTTTCCAACTCTTACGTAGTCACTTTTCTGCCTTACGTACATCTTCACTCAAGTTTTGTATTTTGCATGTCAATAAACTTCTCTTATCTACATCTAAACTACAGTTAAGACAAGTGGAAGCGGACCAGATGAACGATGGCAATATCTGACAAGAAGTCTTTTTATGTAAAGGAAATTCGGAGAACTAAACTTCCTCAGTTTTTCTATAGCGTTTCAAGACGACGGAATGCAGTATTTGCAAACATCAAATGTGACTCCTTTTTCCCAGAAACACTCGCCAAAACTTTTAGAGGTAATGAGAGCACAAATGATACATTGAGTGGTGGTCAATCACAGCGATGCTAAACCGATCATCTATTTTTTTCGGGTGGCGTATGAGGAGAAGCTTAA